TAATCAACAAGAACAAGAAAGAGCAACTCTAAACATCACATTGATCTTTCTTTTGGCAGGAGATGAACAAGACCATAGCGATAATTTGACTCATTCGTCACTATTTAATTAGACGAGAACTGAGTCTTCGGATAAGAGCAAAACGCTTGGAAGTCAGCTTTCCCAAGAAATTAAATAATATTCGCTGCTAATTAGAATCATTTGTTATCTTAATAAAGTTGACATAGAGTTCAGTATACGTGCGAAAATGGCGCAAGTTCACTTAAAAGCGATAATAAACTCTTTCAAGATGAGAAATAGCCCACAAATCTTCAGAATGTAAGTCACTTTGAAATTATAAATATCATTACTAATAGTAAGCACGCCTTTCCCGATGATATTCGAGCACATTCGAACTCAACAAAAATACAATAGGTGTACAGTTTTAAATTCTTGTCTAAAATATCATAAGATACAATTTCAACTTAGTTTGCTACCATCCAGTACATGCGGATGGGAATTCATACAGACTGGTAAGTGTTGATAAACAAAAAATTCAAACGCTGCATACCTGATCGCGCCTAACATCGAGTGGCTGAGGGTTCATTACGTAACCGTTCTCATTTGTCACCTGCGGCATAGAACAAGAAGCCGAGGCTGAGACAGATGGCGATGGCGAAAGAGAAGGGGAGATGGAAAGAGATGCAGATACAGAGCTGGAGGCAGGAGGTGAGGCCCGGCCACGACCCGGTGGCTCTCGGTGAAGTGGGATTTCTGAGAAAGCGGTTTCTAAAAGATTTCTAGCCAAAGACATCGGCAAAGGCTGTGTTTCTGCCTCCTCACATACAAACTGGCCAGCAGGTAGGAAAGAGGATTCAGAATCAGTACTTGAGCGCGCCTGAAAGGAAGGGTTAGTCCCGGGAGAGGCATCAACTGAGCAGCGCCGCTGAAGGTTAACATTGCCGCCTGATGGTGCTTGTGGTGGAGTGGCCGCCGAAGAAGTAGAAAAACACCGACTCATTGCTGAAGGGTCAAAAATGCAATGGATTTAATAAGCTTGCTAATAAAGATATGAAAATAAGGTTAAATCGAAATGGGAAAAACATAAAAATCATAATGGCAAAAGTCTATATTTAATATGCACATTGCTGGTCGGATGAAATAGTCAAAAAGATAAGAGAATTTCGAAAACAATTAATAT